TTTGTATTGTCTGTAATTTGCTTTTCTTGTGATGTTTTGGTATCAAGGTTATTCTGGCCTCTTAAAACAAATTGAAAAGTGTTCCTTCTTCTTTGAAAGGTTTTTGTTAAGACTAGTATTTCACCAGTGAAGCAATCTGAATGTAGTTTTCTATGTGAGAAGGTTTTTAATTATAAATTTAGCTTCTCTAACTGATAACAACTATTCAGATTTTCTATTTCATTTGTTTGGTTTGGAAACTTGTGGTTTTTAAGCAACTTAACTATTTCATCTAAGTTGTTAAATTTATTGACATATTGTTCATAATTTCCCTTAATTCCCTTTAAATGTCCATAGGATCTGTGGTGATGTCTTCTCTTGCGTTCTTGATGTTGGTAATTTTCAGGCATCATTTTTTATATCTTTAACTTTTCACATCTACATCATCCTTTCTGTTCCTATTTTAATTTAAGACAATGCCTGAATTTTTGCTATGACTGTTAAAATAACCTTATACTAGCCTTCCTGTTTACAGTCTTGTTTCTCTGTATCCCAGTCACCTAATTATAGGAAGAAAGTGCATATGTCATTAAATCTTTCTTGGCTTAAAACTTTTTAATGGTTTCCTAATACCTTCAGAATAAAAATCTAAGCTCCTTCATATGGAATACAAACTCATTAATGATAAGGTATCTATTTCTCTCAATAGAATCCTATTTTTTCCTATATATTCTTTTCCCTTTTAATCTCTCCCTGCCAGCCATAGGGAGCTATACTTCACTGACTTTCTAGGTGCTCTAATTTGTCATTCATCATCTTAAAATTGAATGCATTCAGATGTGATATGATCAATACTAAGTAGGCAAAAATTGTTTCCTCACTTCTCCTTTACTGAGATTATTATTAATATCTGATAGGTATGGTCTCAATATTCATTTGACATAACTTTTTTGTTCAGTGTATCTTTACATTCACAGCAATATCTAGCTGCAAAGCATTATTTTAAACCCCCTTTCAATTTTACTGTTATCTCAAAACATATTGATCCAATATGCATGAATTTGCTATAACCAGAATACCTATCAGATAGCTAGTTGATCCTCCCCACACCAGTGATGATGAGTTTTATTTCAGCTTGAGGGTGTTAGTGTTGGTTTTGACTAATCACCCAGATGACTGGATGATTTATGTTTCTTTATAGTACCATTTTATAGTTTGCAAAATCAAGAAACATTCCTCTGAAACTGGCTAGCTGGTTTGGAGGTAAGGCAGTTGTTTCTTTTCTTGTCAGTCCTTCACCTCTTCACCCCCAGGGGAGTTAGGATGTCCCATGTTATGTTTAAAAGTCTAAACACTTCAAACTTTTATTCTCCTGTTGAGCTTGAAAGGGGGACGTTATTAGCTCTGTCTTGATGTAGCAGGGGCTCTGAAAGTCTATTTGGATAACACTGAAGATTGGAGGAAATGTGACTCTGTCTGTGTGTTTTAAGCCCCTAAGGTAAGATCAGAAAGCGTCTGGGGCAGTGAGAGCCAAATAGTTGAAGTCATACATTAATTATGGTCATGAATCATTTTTATTTTTAGAGTCTTTACCATTTGACAAGGTTGTTTGCATAGTACTCGAGTGAGTTTTAGGCAGCATTTTCCCTCCTTTCAAAGTAACAGGCTATTTTGTCAATTTCTACTTTGGGTCGATAATGCCTATCAAATTAGAATTCTGATAACATTTTTAGTAGAAATTGCTTGTTTCTTGCCAGAGTGAACGGTCTTTAATTTATGTGATTTTTGTTTCGAATATATTTTGAAATTATAGATATAGAAAACTAGTACGTTAGTCTTTTAGTCTTTCACTGATATCAGTAAAAATAATCAAAATCTTGGGACTGTACTTTTATATGCAGGCATTAGTCGACCTTCAGTCAGCAGTATATTTTGAGTGCCTTTGTGTCACATTCTCTGCTAAGTACTGGGAATGTAAATGAAAAAAATGAGTGTTTTTTTTTTTTTTTCCCAGAAATCTAGTAAAGAAATAGACAAGGGAATAGGCAGTTGCTGTAAAATGTGGTTCTATAATCTTTGTTAGTGTTGTATACATGATGCTGTGGATCTCCATAGGAAGAAGTGCCTCTACCTGTCTGGAACAGTCGGGAAGGCCTTTGAAGAAGAAGGTATGCTTGAGCTGCCTGTTAGTGGGTTTGGGAGTATACTTATCTGTTAAGAGAGAGTGAAGCTTGTGGTCAGATAGAACAGCTCACTGAAAGGTACAGAAGGAAGAAATGGCATGACGTGTTTGGGGAGAGTTGTTAGTAGTTGAGCATTGCTGGAATTGCGCGTGCAAAGTAAGCATATCAGAAACGAGGTGGGGACCACATCACAAAGGTCCTCTCCTTGCTTTTAAATTTCTTTAGCATTACCTTTGTAGGTGAGTATTGCCATCAAGAGAGTGTGTACGAATTCACACCCGGAGCAGGAGGCAGTAGGATGGAGGATAATCTCCTCTATCGGATTCCTTTGGAGTCCTGAGGAAGTTGCAGAAGAACTGCTCTCACGAGTAATCTCATAAGATTTGCTCCTTTTTAGATGACCTAAGAAATCCTCAGTAACTATCAGGCAACTTCTGAAAGTGCAGAATATGTCATGAATATTTTTAGTGCAAGGTGTCGTAATAATAATGTTGGCAGAGGTGTTGATGCCATCAACTCCCTGATAAAATTAACGTCCTCATATATAGGATAACTTTCAGTTTAGGACAGTTGGCCAGTTTTAAAAGTCGGAAGTAAAATTTACATACCGTGAAATACTTAGATTTCAAGTTTAAGTTCTGTGTATCCTCCTGTGCGCCTCACCCCAATCAAGACATGGAACATTTCCATCACCTCAGGTAGTTCCTTAGTTCGCCTTGCTCTCTACCAGTCAGTCCTGCCTCACCCAGGCAGCTAGCCACTCTTGATTTCTGTCACCATACATTGCTTTTACCTGTTCTTGAACTTTGTTTAAATGGAATCATATAGTATGTACTTTTTCGTTCCTGGCTTTTTTCACTCAGCATAATGTTTTTTTGAGATTCATTCATATTGTTGTGTATATCAGTGTTGTGTTCCTTTTTATTGCCGAGTAGAATTTCGCTGTATGAATATGCCACAATTTGCTTATTAATTCTCCTGTTCGATGGACGTTTGGATTGTTTTCTATGAACGTTCTTATACATATCTTCTTGTGGACGTGTTTTTGTATTTCTTGAGTAAATGGTAAGGAGTAGAAATACTGGGTCATAGGTTAGATGTATGTATAACTTTACAAGAAACAGTTTTCCAAAGTGATGATACTGTTTTATACTTTTATCACCGATGCATGCAAGTTTCAGTTGCTGCACATCCTTGCTAGCATCAGGTGTTGTCATTTTAGTTTTAGTTATTCTAACAAGTGTGAAATGCTATCTCATTACGATTTCAATTTTCATTACCATGATGACTAAGATTCTGAGCACCTTTTCCTATGCTTATTGACCTTTCTTATATCTTCTTTTGTGAAGTGTTTCACTCTTTTGCCCATTTTTAATTGGGTTGTCTCTTTGTTACTGGTTTGTATGAGTTCTTTATATACTCCAGGCACAGTACTTTGTCGAATTAATGTTTTACAAATATTTTCTCCCAGTCCATGGACTGCTTTTATATTTTCTTAACAACATCTTTAGATGAAAAGACATTTTTTATTTCGGCAGTGCCTAATTTATCCATTTTTAATTTTAAGGTTAGTGCTTTTTGTGTCTTCTCTAAGAAATCTTTGCCTACCCCAAGGTTGCAAGAGATTCTGTGTTTTCCTCTACAGATTTATGACTCTAGCTTTTATGTTTACTATGATCTCCTTGAATTAATTTTTTTTCTGCTGTGAGGTAAGGAATGAGATTCATTCCCTACCTCACAGCAACTGTGTTTACCCACTGTTCCAGCACCATTTGTTTAAAAAACTTTCCTTTTTCCTTTAATTTGCCTAGGTTCCTTTGTCCAAAATCAGTTGGCCATATATGTGTAGGTCTGTTTCTATACTCTTTATTCTGTTCCATTGATCTGTTTTTTGATCCTTATGCCAGTACCAGATTGTTTTGATTACGTAGCTTTATAAAAAAGGAAGTCTTGAAATCTGGCAGTTTTAAAGATTGGTTTATCTCTTCTAGATTCTTTGTTTTTTTATGTAATTTATAGTATCAACTTCTTAATTTCTACAAAAAGAAGCACACATACACACAAAAACAAAGCCTGTTGGGATTGGGATTGTGACTGTGAAATTATTGACCCATATATAGAAATATAACTGAGTGTTTGTTGACCTTGTATCCTGTGACATTATTAGTTCTAATAGTTGTTTTGTGGATTCCTAATGATTTTCTACATGAAAATCATGTTACCTGTGAATAAAGACAATTTGACCATTTTTAGTATGTACATGTATACAAAATATATAAGCTATACTTGAAGACAAAGAGACAAAGAAAAACACAAACCCATAATTAAAGCAAAAAAGAAAACTAGTTAATTTTTTCAATGCTCCTTGTTTCAAAGGGGCTGCTGCTTTAATTCAGTCTTCTTAACTTGGGACTATTGTTAATTTGTTTTTTCTTTGTGGATACCCATCAAGTAATAGCCTTCATAGCAGTGGGGTTTTTTGGTGACTTTAGTAATGTAGCTAATTTCTCTGGGCCTCAGTTTCCCATCTGTAAAATGATAGGGTTCAATCAGATTATTTTCTAAGGTCTCTTTCAGATTCCTGTGAGTTCTTCATTTTAGCTCTCAATACATCACAGACAGTCAGATGGGTATAGAAAGGGTGTTTTAGAACATATCGTGACTCTTGTTATTTCCTTGTTGTAAATATGCTAGAGAATTGTGAAATCATCAGTTGAGTTCATTATTAATTCTCTTTATCCTGGAAACTTTGTCCTCGTTTTGTTCCATTTATGCCTGTGGCTCTGTGTTGAGTTTATAGTTAACTCACTTAAATTTTTCTACAACTTTTATTTCTAGGCTTCATAGAGCCCAGTGTGCAATTAAACAGACTCAGGTAACTGTTCAGAAAATTGGAAAGGAAATTGAAGAAAAACTAAGACTCACATCTACAAGCAATGAGCTGGTAGGTTTTTATATATTAACCTATTTAAATTAGTTGATTTCTAAATGTGATCACCGTATTCTTCTTGTATTTATTTCCCTCTTTTTCCCCAAAAAAACTTCAGGTAGTTTTTTCTTTCTTTTTATTTTTTCCTCTTAATGTTTCACTGAGACTTCTGTTGGCATTTAAATGTTATAAATAAACTTTCCTATCTGCTAATAGTGTAACATACAAAGTGCCTGCCTTTTTATGCTAGTTGAAACTTTAGATTGCATACAATTACTTAGAAGATAATCAAAATCTATTTTATTAATATCTTATAAATGTGAACTCTAGACATAAACTGTATAGTGAATGAAAAATAGCTGCCAGAAGAAAAAAAATAATAAACTGTAGATACTGATCTGCTTTTAAAAGATGAATTTAAAATTATTTGGATTGAATTTAATAGGTTAGTTTATGGACAGTGTTCTCTTTGGGGAAAGATTCTTTTAATGAGGTATTTCCAAAGAAATAGAAATTCCAATCCAAATGGACAGATTTAAGATATTAGTATAATTTTGGGGTTGCTTTATACTCTTCCTAGTGGGGAAAAACATATTAATTTTGGAACGAAGATTCTGTCTTTTTAAGCAGAATAGTGGGTATAACTAATAAATGGAACTTTTCTCAAAATGAAGTCACAGTGCTAATGATAGCTTTTGATGAAATTTTTGCTATAGATAATGATACTTAAAACTCAAATCCTCAAATTAAGTCCGAAGTGAAAAATTTTAAGTATTTGTTTGCACAAACTCGATACCATAGATAGGCAGTATCTTCTAGCTGTCGTTCACAGCACTGTCAACTTGGCAGAAGGTCTTTATGTCCCCAAACAAAAGTTCCATTATCTGTAAGATTTGTCTGAGATAATAATTCAGTGGATGAACTATAGAAAGCAACATTGCAATTAACCTATACAGACTTCTCTCTCGTGGAATTTGAAATTAATGGATGATAAAGTATTTAATCTATATAAAACTGCTGACTTTGACCTATAAATGGCAGTGTCATATAGTTCAGTCTAATATGTAAAATGGCTAGTGCTGTACCTGGCACGTAGCAGGCATACAAAATATGGTAGCTGCAATAACTGTGGTAGTGACACTTTTTATTCATACGACTTTTCACACCTATGGAAAATCTTCCACTTTGGAGAAGCTATTAAACCACCTCCTTTTGTAACTTAGGTCCAGTAAAGGACCAAACTCCAGGCCACAGATATATTGGAGGAGGAGAAAAAATAGCTAATTTTAATCCTTTCTGTAGTGTACAAAAATACCACATTTTTAGAGCCTTTGGGGAGAAACTGCTAGGTTTTTTCTTATTTTCCTCTCTCAAGGCAAGACTGGGAAATTACTTATTTCATTAAGTGACAGCATATGTTTTGTCTCAGTATGGAAAAATGTATGTTTAATCCTATTTTTCTAAAATATAAGTGGTGACACACAGAGCAAGGTGATAGAATGTATGAGTTTAAAGAGGTCAAGTTCAGAGGTTCACTGTGTGTTTTTATGCGGCCTAGTCAACATATAAGAAAATCACTGTATTTTTGAACTGAAAGTGAACCTAGAAATCTAGTTCCCTTATAACCTCACTTAAAACCACACTCCCCTCAGTACCTTCTGTCCCCTTCCCTGTTTTGTTTTTCTCCATAGTATTTATTACCCTTTAACATGCTATACACTTCACATATGAATTTTATTTGTCTATCTCTCTAAACTCTGTGAGGAGAGGGATTTTTGTCTATTTTTTTTTTCCTCATGGCTGTATTTCCCAGTGTCTAGAAAAGTGTTTGACACACAGTAAGAGCTCATTAAATATTTGATGAATTTAAGGATGAATCTAGTGTAATCTCTTTTTAAAATAACAGGAAAATGAGACCTAAAGAAAGTAAGCAACTTTCCCATGATCATTGACAAATAGAGACAGAAATTTTGGTTTCCTTGTCTCCTTTCAGAGGGTAATACCAGGTACTTGTTTGTTATCTGCTGTAAGGTTTACCTGTAGGAAATTAGAAGCCCTTACTACTACAGTTTTTTCTTCATTCCCTTTCCAAATTGGCCCAATTATACTTCAACCCAAGCATTTTCAATATATAAGAATTAATTTTAGTCTAAGTATAAATACAGTCAGAAGGCATATTTGATGTGTAAAGAAATCAGATTACCTTCTAAGATCAAATGTAATTAACTGTTTAGAAGAAATTGGGTTCATACTTGATGACTTTCGAAACTTTGACATCTTCTCGTCAATGTCCAACATAATTTTCTGGCGTTATGTTTTTTAGGAAATTTCTGCTGTTGTCATTTTGAATTTTTGCTTAAGTGTTTTGGATTTTGTCAAATTGCCTTTCCTTGTATCTGTTGAGATAATTTTATGTTTTTCTCTTGTATTATGATAGTGAAGTACATTGATTGATTTTTGAATGTTCATCCAACTTAGGATTGCTAGGGAAAGCCCCTCTTGTTCATGATGAATTATTCTTTTTATGTATATTTCTAGATTCAATGTGCTAAAATTTTGTAAAGGATTTTTGCATCTATATTAAGGTGGAATATTGATCTGAAGTTTTGTTTTCTTGCCACCTCGTTGTTTGGTTTTGTTGGGGTAATGTTGGTCACAACTAGTGAATTGGGAAGTGTTTCCTCTGTTTTCTGGAAGAGTAAGTGTAGAATTGGAATTATTTCTTAAAGGTTGGTAGAATTTACCGGTGAAGCCATCTGGGCCTTTGTGGGCCCAGATGTGGAGTCTTCTTTGTGGGCTTTGAGTTAGGAATTCAATTCTTTAATAGTTGAGGTGTTACTGAAGTTAGCTGCTTCTTGAGTAGGCTTTGGTTGCTTGTGTCTTTCAGGGATTTGTGCATTTCATTTAAGAGGTCGGTCTTTTTAATTTTAGCTATTGGGTATATAGTGCTTCCTTAGTTTGGTTTTATAATTGTATTTCTATTATGATAATTTTTCATATCTTTATTGGTTATCTTTTAAGAGGTGTAATTTTAAATATTTTTGCCCATTAGGAAAAGAAAAACTCTATTTAGATTTACAGAAAACTTGTAAAGATTGTTCAGAAAGGTTCCATACACCTTTCATCCAGTTTCTTTTAATGTTAACTTCTTGTATAGCCATGTTACATTTGACATGGTACATACAACTTGGTATATCATCAAACCAGGAAATTAACATTGATACATTACTATTAGCTGTGGATTTTATTCAGGTTTCGCCAGTGTTTCCACTATGTCATTTTTATTTTACAACAGTTTTAGATTTATAGAATTATTACAAAGATAGTACAGAGAGTTACCCTGTAAACCCCACATCCAGTTTCTCCCATTATTAACATCTTACCTTAGTATGGTACATTTGTCGTAATTATTGAACCTGTATCGATAAGTCATCATTAACTAAAGTCCATGCTTTATTCAGATTTCCTTAATTTTTATCTAATGTCCCTTTTCTGTTCCAGGATCTCATCCAGGAAACCATACTGCTTTTAGTAGCTATGCTTCCTTAGACTTTCTTGGTTGTGAAAATTCCTCAGACTTTGATTTTTTTGATGACTTTGACAGTTTTAAGGATTACTGGGTCAGCTGTTTTATATAATATCCCTTGATTGGTGTTTGTCTGATGTTTTGTTGTGATTAGACTGGATTCTAATATCTTTTTTTCTTCCAGTATCCAGTCTAGGACACCACACTGGCTTTAGTCATCATGACTTCCTAGGCTTCTCTGATCTTTGACAGTTTTTCATTCTTTCCTATTTTTAAATCACCATGACGAATCACTGTTGATAGTAACCTTGATCACTGGGTTAAGGTGATGTCTCCCAGGCTTATGCACTCTAGAGTTCCCTTTCCCTGCTCAATTTTTTGAAAGCCAGATTCTAAGCCCAGCCTCCACTCCAGAAGAGGGGACTGAAGCTCCACCTCCTGGAAGGGAGACTATCTACACACATTATTTGGGTACTTTGTGAGGAAGATTTGTCCCTTCTTCCCTCCAGGCATTTATTTATTCAGTCGTTTAATTATCAGTATGGATTTGTATCTATTTATTTTATACTTTAGGTTACAATCTGATACGATGTTCTTTATTTCCTTGCTTCAACTGTGGCATTGAGAGCTCTCTCAGGATGGGTTCTGTGTCCTTTTGACATGCCCTCATCTCCTTTTTGTTCGTTTGTTTTTTAAAGCAAGTTCTTAATTTCTGGCACTATGTGATCTGGACTCATCAGGTATTTTCCCTGTCTCAGCCCTAGAATCAGCCATTTCTCCTAGGAATCCTGTTCCTTTCATTGAACAATGGAATTTAGAAACAAGATCTGGGCACTAGGTGTGCTTGTTGCTTCTGAGTTGTAAGTGCTTCTAAGCCCTCTCAGTGGACAGAGCTGGTATATACAGGTATCCGTCTCGCTATGTATTAAACTTAACATACATTTATTTATCTATTTTTTGCTGCATTGGCTCTTCGTTGCTGTGCGTGGGCTTGCTCTGGTTGCGGCGAGCGAGGGCTACTCTTCGTTGTGGTGCATGGGCTTCTTATTGCGGTGGCTTCTGTTGTTTCGGAGCACCGGCTCTAGGTGCACGGCCTCAGTAGTTGCAGCGTGTGGGCTCAGTAGTTGTGGCTTGCGGGCTCTAGAGTGAAGGCTCAGTAGTTGTGGCACACGGGCTTAGCTGCTCCACGGCATGTGGGATCTTCCCGGACCAGGGCTCGAACCTGTGTCCCCTGCATTGGCAGGCGGATTCTTAACCACTGCGCCACCAGGGAAGTCCCTTCCCTCATTTTTAAATGGGACTTTTGTCTTCTCATACTATGGTTAAAGACTGTGTGGGCATGCGTGTGTGTGTGTGTGTGTGTGCACGCATTTCTGGATACAAGTCCTTTTTCTGATATGTGTTTTGGCAGTATTTTCTTCCAGTCTGTGTCTTGCCTTTTTGTGTTCTTAGTGATGCTTTCTAAAGAGCAAAAGTTTCAAAGTTTGAT